TCTCCCCACTGTTCCCCCCCCGCTTCCCTCTGTGGCGTGTGTGCTCCCCCCCTTTCCCCCCCCCCCCCCCGTGCTGAGCGTTATAATGAAACGCACTGAGTGCTAAATGAAACCAGGTAGGTATTTTAAATGAGGACTATAGGGAAACCGCATTAAGCAGGGGTTGCCTGTATCTGGGATCCAAAAATGCAGGTTATCCATATAGTTTGGGTGATTGCTTTGGAAACACTGACTCAAAGGATTTATGGGTTGTCACAGGCAACTACTTTGGCGTAAAAGCAGAGCTTTGTCAAAAAACAAGCTAACATGATCCTTGAATCTGTAAGGAGGGAAATACCAAATGGGAGAAGGAAGCGATTTTGCTGTGTACACAGCATTGGTAAGGCTGCTAGTAGAAGACTCTGTCCAGTTCTGATTTCTGCACTTGGAGGACATGGGCATACCATACTTTCCACTTATGTGTTCTGGAATATTAATACAGTTTTTAAAAGGACAGAATGAAGTGGTGGGGAATTGATCTTTCTTTGTAGTATATAACGAAGTAGCAGCAGCTAGTGATCCCAGCCCATTGATACAGATTTTACTTTGTTTCACCAGTAAACTGCAGAACCTACTATACCATATTTCTCATATATAACGTGCACTCTAATTTATAGCCACTGCTCTGCCATGCCACCTCCTGTCCTGAATGCTCTTGGAGCACTCTGATTGGTTGTTTCAGAAAACCAATTGGAGTGCAAATAAAGTGTTACAGACGGACTAAGACTTCTTTAATAGAATATTTGTAAGAAAATCCTAAAGGAGAGCTACAAAAATTATCTAGGAACTGGAAAGTAAGGTTCATGATGTGAAGATTATGGACCTTAACCTAGTCAGTTTGTTGCCAACAATGCTGATGGGTCCCAACGCCATACCAATAATGATGTCTTAGATGCCAACATTATTAATTACTTTACTGCTCCAAAGGGCTGGGGGTGCATTGTGCACATCAGGGGTGTCAAAGATATGGCCTGTGGGCCATTTCCAGCCTGCAGATCTGCATCACCCAGAGCTGCCCCTAGGCGCCATGTGATATGTACTGTGGGTCCTGCTCTCCTTGGAGCAGGCACTCTGTGAGACACAATCCTGGACCCAGTTGAGCAGGAGAGGGGGTTCCACATCTGAATCACAGAATGGCTGCACATGCAGCACAGTTTGCGTGTCAAACAAGGCAGGCACCCCTAGCCTCTGGTATTTGTGCTGCACATGGCACCTTCACCGCATGTCCTGGAGCAGCTGGGGCCTACTTCAGCTGCTCTGGGACCTATACTGCATGTAGTGCTGCATGCAGCATGGGTCCCAGACCAGCTGGAGCAGATGCTGCATATGGCATATATCCCAGAGCTGCTGGAACAGCCACTGCATGCAAATCCAGTATATGTGCATGAGGAAGATCAGTGGGCTTGATCTGGCCTGTGGACTAGCCCAGTATGATGCATCTGGCCCAGGGACCAAATAACATTTACACCCCGGTGTAAGGCAGAGATGGAACTGGGACTAGCTTCCCAGATTAAGGACAATAAGAAGTCCTTTTTTAAATACATAGGGGGTAAAAAGGTCCCGGGTAATGTGGGGCCCTTGCAGGACGTGTTGGGAAATTTGGTCGTCACACCAGATGACAAAGCTAACATACTTAATGATTTCTTTGCCTCTGTCTTCCTAAGTAGGGACCAGAACAGCCACCTCCCTGCTGGGCCCCCCTTGGGCCCCGGGGGTGGCACACCTGGGCCAAGGGTTAGCGAGGATTTAGTTAGGGAGCTTCTGGAGGG